GGCAAACGGTCCTAGCCATTAAAGAATAAATTTAACAGTGGTATTGTTAAATGAGACGTCTGTATTCCGACAAAAAATAACCCTTTTCCATCCTCTTTATTCGGTATAACGCCCATCAGGTTAAATAATGTTAGAGAAAATTTACTGTTCTGCATAAAGTTTACTGAATCCGAAAACGGGACGAAGCATAACATGGGGTTTTGAAAACAACCAGATTTCTGCCTGTAAAGTCAAAGCTTGCGTGGCTACGCAGTAGAAATAACCGGCCAGACGAACACACACATACATGCCCTCAAACATACAGGCTTATCACAAAATGCGCCTTTGCTGCCTGTTACAGCGCTCTAGCGTTGCACGGCAAAAACGCACAAATATCTGAATGAGGGGCTCTTTTTTCGGGGTTCCAGTGATGAGTGATTGTCCTCAGCTACCTTACGTCGATATCATTATTTTATCAACCTCTACCGACTCGATGTACCAAACAACCAGCAAAAGGAAGACAGTAAATGAAAGTTAGACGAGCGACGTAATGGTTCGGATTTTTACTTCACACTAATGATAGTACGGCAATTGAGAAGCTAAGTATTAGGGGGCAGAAACGGAGATATACTCACTTTCGAACGATAACTTCCAGGACTTCCTTGTGACACATATGCAGATCCGTAAGTGCTAAACTGCGTAATTTATAGGGAAACGACCTTTCGGGCATTTCATACGGTAAATCGAACAGCGCAATGATACCGTCTGGTGTAAGATCACAATCCTCACCACCACAAGATATATACAGCTCCTCCAAATTGCTCAGTTTCTGCAAGCAGTATTTCCCATAGCAATTCAGAAGTGCAAGAACACGTTTAGGAACATAAGTGGATCCAGGATGGTCTCCTGTGGGAGGGGGAGGGGGCGACAGATGGTATCAAGCAGACTTTTGTACAGTAAAACAACTGCTACCTAAGCCTCTGGGGTAGGAGGAGGAAGGGGTGAAAGCCCCTCTTCCCCCATGGATCCGCCAATGCGTATGAAGGAAGCTCTTCTCATGAAATACATATGTTTGGAAAAAGCTGCCGTTGCTGGTTGTGTAGCAACGTTTCATCCCTCAGAAACGATATTACTTACGATATCGTATTTTCTCGGGTCTGTTTGTAGCCGATGTGAAAAGAACCTCTTCTTCAAAAACTAATGGCGATTGTATCGCCATTTCATTGCTGAGACTGGCAGACTGTCTACTGCCTGCTTCTGAATTAACGCTTATT